CCCGAGGTGTGCGTACCTGACCCCTGTACCCGAGGTGTGCATACCTGACCCCTGTACCTGAGGTGTGCGTACCTGACCCCTGTACCCGAGGTGTGCCTACCTGACCTCTGTACCCGAGGTGTGCCTATCAAAGACACAGCCACCTGTGTCACTGCACTTTTTTGTCATTCAAGTGCGCTTGACAGTTGAATGGAAGAGAATTAGCAGGATCTACTGATTCCTCTAATAAATATTCCATGAGGAGGAGTTAAATAGTTTCAATTGCATAATCAACAGAGACATGTCATATATTATGGTTTTACAATGTTGTTATGTTCTAGCACTTATCTTTTATTTCTGGTTTTCAGAACAAAAACATATGTATCCCTGTATCAGCCCTGTATCAGCCCTGTATCACCTTGAGGTGACAGTGACTTTGATAGATTGCACTGTACATCAATTTTATCTTTTAAGGTTTGAAATTAAAACCCGGATAAGATTTGCATGGAAATTTTGCACTTATTTGGCCATTGACCTTTTAACAGTGCACTATATACATCATGGGGGTTATGCAGATATTCCTTAAGTTCTTTCAGGGTATTTTTTGTGGCGAAAAAGTTATGTCCCAGATAATTCTAAGAAGACGAACCAGTACTAATACAACATGTCTCCTTTCATTCAAAGGGGAGATACATTTACTGTAAAATCATAATTTTTTTGTGGGACATTAAATTTCGTTTATTTCGTGGATAACAAGAATCCATGAAAAAAATCCAAACGAAAACATAAAGTTGGTATTGATATAGATAGGGGATAATCAGAAATCAGCGAAATATACTGTTTTTGAAACTGGCTAGTATATAAAAACAACGAAATTTTAACCCCACGAAAATAAATGATTATACAGTAGTATTTTATAACTCATGGAATAATGACGGAATGAGTGTGATGTGAGTCTTTAAGTTTATGTAATAATGAGTCAATGTGTGTATATATTAGTGAGTTACAATAAATAATAATGCAGACATTTGTATAGCATCCTACAATTCCTGTAAACAGGGCACATTACAGTACATACAGTAAACATATAGCATTCAAAAACAAGAGGCCTTATGGGCCTGAAGCACTCAACTGGTAGTCTGAACCCTTCAAAGAGGACAAAGGGTGAATACATCAAAAAGGGAAAAATTAAGTAACAGGCCAAATTATGTAACCCTTTATCCCAGCAAGCTACTGGCCAGATATCATCACCTTGAGGTCTTTCAGGTATTCAGAAGTTGTTTGAAGATTTCTTAACATTTGAACCCAATGACCTTGAAAGTGGGTCAAGGTCAATTGTTTAAACAAACCTAGTAGCCCTTCATCCCAGCATGTTACTTACTAAATCTCATCACCCTGGGCCTTTTGGTTATTCAGAAGAAGTTTTTTGAAGATTTTTAAACATTTGACCCCAGTGATATATTTGAAGGTGGAGTCAAGGTCAATAGGCTGAACAAACGTTGTAGCACTTTATAATTATCCTGCATGCTACATGCCAGATATCATCACCTTGAGGCCTGACCACATTGGTTTTCTTCGGGTACTCTGGTTTCCTCCCACAAAAATATCCCCTGAATGTTTCCATTCGGGTAAACAAGATTGATCAATTTAAGCTGAGAAATTTGTCTGATTATCATTGTAAAATATATAATGTTTATTTATTCAGCAAGTTATTGATGTAACAAGTAGTTACCTCTGTCTGAGCCATAGTGATAACACAGCCACTGGTCGGTGGATACTGATAACGTCAGTGATAACACAGCCACTGGTAGGAGGATACTGATAACATCAGTGATACCACAGCCACTAGTTGGAGGATACTGATAACATCAGTGATAACACAGCCACTGGTAGGAGGATACTGATAACATCAGTGATAACACAGCCACTAGTTGGAGGATACTGATAACATCAGTGATAATAACACAGCCACTAGTCTGAGGATACTGATAACATCAGTAATAACACAGCCACTGGTTGGAGGTTCCTGGTTAACGTCAGTGATAACACAGCCACTGGTCGGAGGATACTGATAACATCAGTGATAACACAGCCACTAGTTGGAGGATACTGATAACATCAGTGATAACACAGCCACTAGTCGGAGGATACTGATAACATCAGTGATAACACAGCCACTAGTCGTAGGATACTGATAACATCAGTCATAACACAGCCACTAGTCGGAGGATACTGATAACATCAGTGATAACACAGCCACTAGTCGGAGGATACTGATAACATCAGTGATAACACAGCCACCGGTCAGAG